ATGTTTACATATTATAAACCAAAATGTCCACATTGACCAATTCATTTTATGAGGCCACAGTTACCCCGACGGCCAAACTACATAAGAACACAACAAAGAAAAAGAATCATAAACCAATTTCCCTTATGAACATAGTTGCAAAAAATACTCAATAAAATACTTGCAAACCAAATCCAAGAACACATAAAAAAGATCATTCACAATGATCAAGTAGGCTTCATCCCCAGAAATTCAGCAATGGTTCAATATAAAAAATTAGAAAATGTAATTCACCATATATGGGAAAAAATCTACATGATCATCTCATTAGATACAGAAAAAGTTTTTGAAAAAAATCCAACACCCCATAATAAAAACACCTTCATGATAAAAGTCCTGGACATATTAGGGATACAAGAGACATACCTAAACATAATAAAGGCAATTTACAGCAAGCCTACAGCCAACATCAAATTAAATGAAGAGAAACTCAAAGCAATTTCACTAAACACGGGACAAAGGTTGTCCACTCTCTCCATGTCTATTCAATATAGTACTGAAGTTTTAGCTAGAGTAATAAGACAACTGAAGGAGATCAAGATGATACAAATTGAAAAGGAAGAAGTCAAAGTATAGTTATTTGCAGGTGATATGATAGAATACATAAGTGACCCCAAAAATTCCACCAGAGAACTCCTAAAGCTGAGAAACACCTTCAGCCAAGTAGCTGGATACAGAATTAACTCAAAAAAAAAAAAAATCAATAGCCTTCCTATACACAAGTGATAAATGGAATGAGAAAGAAATCAGGGAAACAACACCTTTCATAGCAGCTTTAGATAATACAAAATATCTTGGAGTAACTAACCAAAAAAAGTGAAAGTCTTGTATGACAAAACTTTCAAATCTTTGGGAAAAAAAAAATGAAGAAGATATCAGAAGATGGAAAAATCTGCCATGCTCATAGACTGGCAGGTTCAACAGAGTAAAAATGCCCACATCTAACCCAAAGCAACCTTCATCAGAATATCAACACAATTCGTATACACTATGTGCATGGGTGTTTGGCCTGCATGGATGTCTGCAACATGTGCATGCAGGGTATGCAGTGTCCAGATCCCCCGGACCTGGAGTTTCAGGCAGTCGTGAGCTGTCATGTGGGTGCTGGGAAATGAACCAGGGTCCTTTGAAAAGCAGCCAGTGGTCTTAATCACTGAGCCATCTCTCCAGCCCCCAACACAATTCTTTACACACCTTGAAAGGACAATTCTCATCTTCATATGGAAAAATAAAAGAGAAACCAGGATAGTTAAAACAATCTTAAACAAACAAACAAACAAACTGCTGGAGGTATCACGATCTCTGATCTCAAGCTGTACTACAGAACAATAGTAATAAAAACACCCCATGGTGTTGGCATAGAAACATGTTGATCATGGAAGTGAATTTAAGTCCTAGTTTAATCCACACATATGTGAACACCTGTTTTTTTTTTTTTATATAAAGAAGCCAGAAACACACTGGAAAAAAGACAACTTTTTCATTTTCAACAAATAGTACTGACCAAACTGGATATCTGCATATAGAAGAAAGAAAACAAATCCATATTTATCACCCTGCACAAAACTCAAGTTCAAGCAGATCAAAGACCTCAACATAAAACCAGATGCACTGAACCTGATGGGGAAAAAAAAGTGAGAAATGGCCTTGAACGTCTTGGCACAGGAGACAACTTTCTGAACATCACACCAATAGTGTAGGCATTAAGATCAACAGTTAATAAATGGACCTCATGGAACTGAAAAGCTTCTGTTAGGCAAAGAACACCATCATCCAGACAAAACAGCAGGCTACAGAATGGGAGAAGATTTTTACCAACTCCATATCCAAAATATATAAAGAACTCAATAAAATAGATATCAAATCAACCAAATAATCCAATTTTAAAGTGGGATACAAATCTAGACAGAATTCTCAGATGGCTGAGAAACAAAGAAATGTTCGACATCATTAGCCGTCAAGGGAATGCAAATCAGAACTACTTTGAGATTCCATCATATACCTGACAGAATGGCTAAGATCAACAACACAAGGGACAGCTCACACTATTGGGGACACGAAGCAAGGAAAACACTCCTCCATTGCTGGTGGGAGTGCAAATTTGTACAGCGCTATGAAAATCAGTATGCTATTTCTTCAGAAAACTGGAAATCGGTCTACCTCAGAATCTATACCACTCTTGGGAATATACCCCAAGGACACTCCATCCCACCACAAAGGCTCAGCTATGTTCATTGCAGCTTTATTTATAACAGCCAGAAACAACCTAAATAGCTCTCAACAGAGAATGGATAAAGAAAATGTACATTTACACAAGGTAGTATTACTCAGGTATTAAAAAAGATGACGTCATAAAATTTGCAGGCAAATGGTGGAACTGGAGAAAATCAAGGATGAGGTAATCCAGACCCCAAAAGACAAATATGGTGTATATTCACTTATAAGTGGATATTGCCACTTATAAGTAAATGATAATCAAGTTACAATCTGTAGGCCCACAACAGTTATGTAAAAAGGATGGCTGGGGGGGGGGGGGGAGGGCACATGAATCTCCCTAGAAGAAGATGGAAAAGGGGAAATAAAATAGATTTTTTTGGGTAGACTGGGGACAAGTGGGGGCAAGAAGGGGCAGGTGGGGACAGGAGCAGGAGGAATCAAATGTCAGTGAAGATGGAATAAAGACAGAGTTCAGGGAGAGACAGCTGGACTTGGAGGGATTTGGAGAGTTCTGTGGAAACCCAGTGCCATGGAAACTTCATGGAATCTACGAGGATGACCCCAGCTAGGACTTCCAGTAACGGAGGATACAGAGTCTCACCTGGACAGCTCTTGTAGCCAGCAAGGCTTCCAGTGGAGGGACTAGGTTGCATTCAGTTGAGTTGTTGGCTGAGGGGCCCATGGAGAACTCCGAACCCAGGCTGAGGCTAGGACAAAGGGATTCTCTCTGCAAACTGCTGGGGTGGCATCCACAGGGCTCTTTGGACATGGAGAGGTTGAACTGGTGCTTGCATGGAGCCTTCACCCCTACGTTCTACTCTCTTTGGTGAGGGAAGGTACCCTGAAGGTTACTGAAAGAGACACATGGACACCAACCCACCACAAAAACTTTCACCTACAAATGTGTCCTGCTTGCAATATGCGCTGGGGCAGTGGTGGCACAGAGCCTGTAGGAGTGGCCAACCAGTATCTGGTTTAACTTGAGGCCACTCCACAAGAGGAAGCCCATGCCTGACACTGCTTGGATGGCCGGGAACCAGAGACTGGATAGCCTAGAGACCTAAGGTAAAAGGAAATATGACTGATCTGAAAAAAAAAAAAAAAATCAATGAGATGATTTCTAATGCTATTCTGCCAGACTCATAGATGCCTTGTTCATAGTGCCTTGTCCAGCTGTTATCACAGAGACCTCCTCCAGCAACTGATAGGAGTGGGTGCAGAGACCCACAGCCAGACATTATGCAGAGAGAGTCTGAACTGGAGACCCTCATCAGGCCCCTTCCCTCAGAGCTCAGAGAACCCTGTGGAAGTGAAGGCAGAGAGATGGTAGGAGGCAGACAGAATGGCGGACACCCGGAGAACATGGCCCACTGAATCAACTAAGCAGGGCTCAGATGGGCTCACAGAGACTGAAGCAGCAAGGACAGAGAACTTGGGGATCTACACCAGGTCCTCGATGTATGTATCATAGCTTTTAGCTTAGTATTTTTATGGAACTCCTGAGTTCAAGAACAAGTAAGTTTCTGATTCTTCTGCCTGCTCTTGGGACTCTTCCCTCTGTTGGGTTGCTATGTCCAGCCTCTGTGTGAGGGCTTTTGCTTTGTCTTGTTGTGTTTTGGTTTATTGTGTTTGGTTATTGTCTCTTGGAGGTTTGCTCTTTTCTAATGGGAGATGGACTGGTGGAGAGGGGAAGTGGGGAAGAGCCAGGAGGAGTAGAGAGAGGGAAAACTGTGACTGGGATATATTGTATTAGAGAAGAATCTATTTTCCACAATAAATAAATAGATAAATAAAAATTTTATTTATTTTTTTTTTAAAGAGCGTTATTGGGATTCTGTAGTGGGAAAGAAAAGCCAGCAGGACCTTGACGCCAGCCTGTCTGAGCTACACCAGTTTTAGAAAGCTGAAAATTCTTAAATGCACTCCAATAAGAGTCTCTGCACTGGGGCCTGGTGTGGTGGCACCTCTCTAACCCTAGTACTTAGGAGGCAGAGAAACTTGGATCTCTTAGTTCAAGGCCAACCTGGTCTATATAGTGAGATCTAGGCCAGCCAAGTCTACGTAGTGAGACTCTGTCTTTAAAAGAAACAAAACAAAAAAACCTCTGTGTACCTATGCTTCTCTGGGGGGAATCTTAAATCGTGGGCACAGGCTGGCTTCCTGCCATGTGCCTACTGAGGCTCCTCAGTGAAGTAGCAGAAAGAGATGGAAAAGCTGGCATTGTTCCCGGCAGCTGAAAACTGTGGTTCCCTTTCTGTCTCTGGCCTCCCACAACCCTCCTCCCTTACTCCCTGGATCCCTGTCCCACATCTCTGCACATTAGAATTAGCCTCTGGGGAGAACTTAAGCCCTCCATGACTGAGGGTCATAGGCCCTTCTATTTAATCTGGTAAGGAATAAATGACACTTGCTATGCACCTAGAAGTTGAATTTGAGTCTGAGAATAGGTTATGAGGGCATTTGGTGATTGCTGGCAAACAACAGCATGCTGGGCTATGTATCCTTGGCTGGCCCTGAACTTCAGACTTTTATACTACAGCCTGGATTTTTGATTACACATGTGTGCCACCAAGCCCAGTTTAACTTCTGGCTTTTTTCCCCCTTGCTTTGTTTCATATGAAGTTTTCTTATGAGATTCTCTAGAGCCTAAGGGTCCAAGGACAAAGATCACCAAGGTGACATAAATTCCCAGGAAGTATGATACATTAAAAAAAAAAAAAAATCACGAAGGGAGCAGCCAAGAGTTACAAACTCTAAATCCAGCATTTATTCCAGTGACAGAGCAGAGAGGAGGCTCAACCCAGGTTAGGTCATTTCCAGACAGAGACGGCTGGACAGGAGCCCCTGGGAACACCTCTCCACCCAGTTAAGAGGTTGGGGGGAAGAGAAGAGGATAATAATGGTTATGACCACTTCCACAGCCGCCACAGCCAGGGGCTGGGAAACCTCCAGCAGCACGCTGAGCTCTAGAGGCCAGGACAGACCCAGAATCAGGCAGTAATCAGACAGGAATATCCCACACTGCAAGAGTACACAGACTCAAGAAATGAAGTCACTCTGGGGGTCCCCAAACAGCATCGATATTTCACAAAGGGGACTCTCAGGGCCTGCAGGCTCCCAGGACTGAATGCTCAGGAAAGCGCTACCGCAATGAGACACTCACAAAGAGGCCTTGATGGCCCCACTCCTTGTGCTGTCAGCAAGGGTGAAAGCAGGTCTGGAGGAGGAAGGGAAGAGTCAACAAAAAGCGTGGGAAGGATACTGGCAGGACATAAGTCAGGACATGAAAAGGGGCCTGAGAGGGGCCTCTAGCTGCTGCCCTGCTGCTCCTGCTGGCACTCCTGCTGGCGGATGAGGTTGGCCATGGGGCTGGTGATGCCACCTATCATGGTCCAGTATTCATCAAAACAGATGCGCCCGTCATGGTTGGCATCCAGGTTCTGGATGAGCTTGTCAGCTGCCTTTCGGTTCCCTGTGTCCTGCAGGAGAACTGGAGTCAGTAAAGCTTGGGAGTGACCCAGACAAGACCCTAGGCAGAGCCCCAGAATCGGATGTGACAGCCACTGCCAAGTCACAAACACACCTCCATGGCCAGACTAGCAGAGCACAGGGAGGGGTGACTGAGAGGACTGTGAGAAGAGGAGCACACAGGGAAGGGGACAGCAGGGTACCGTCAGCATGTGGTTCAGCTCTCTCTGGAGCATCTTGCGGAAGCTGCTCTTGCTGATCTTGTTCTTGACCAGGCTGTGCTTGGATACGTATTTGTAGAAGTTCTCCACCAGAACGACCACTGCCTTCTCCAGCTCCGTGTAGCACTCAGCCATCTCACTGCCTCAGCACCGCTCTGGGCCTAGGGGCCAGACAGACAAGATGGGAGACATCCCCACACACCCCCAGCATCCCCAGCCTGCTTGTCTTCCAGAGAAGGAAGGGGAGCAGGCGCGGGAGTGAGTGTGGGGGTGGCCCTGGAAGGAGAGCTATGTGGCTCCACTAATCCAGGTGCTCCCCAGCCAGACTGCCAACTGCCAAGACAGGTTCTCCAGGCCCTTCCCCTGCCCCAGGCAGCCCTGCTGCCTGTCAGAGCCCTTTAAGAGCAGGAGGATCCTGTGGAGAAAGGAGGCAGGTAACTGCCCCCCCAACACACACACATACACACACACACATTACACATACATTACACACACACTACACACACACAAGATCCCTGTTTTAGGGCAACCATAACTGGGAAGAATCAAGACAGAGGAATCAGAGGCTTTTCTCTTCCTCCCAAGGACTGGCTGAGACCCCAGCCGAGGCAACAAAGCAGGAGTAGGAACCTCAGTCCACCTCAACCCCTTGCACAGGCTGTGAGGGCAGTGAGTTCAGGGGCCCGAGCCATCACTGCCCATCTCTGGGAAAAAAGCAAAGCCTGGCTCCTCATGACCAAACTTTGTGTGGCTCCCCTCCTGGCCACACCCTTTCAGCCTCTGCTCCCCATAATCATTCTTAAGTATCCATCATGGCCCAATGACACCCTTCACCCCATTACCTAAGGGAGATCCTGGCCCAGTTCTGCTCCAGCTGGAGACAGACTCTGGGCCTCTGGACACAGCAGCTGCCTGACAGAGGCCACATACATCGCCCCGTCACTCCAGAACAAAAGGCCACTCACACTCCAAGCGGATACAGCCTTCTGAATAACAGGATATGAGGGGAGCAGGCGGATCCACTCTGTGAGTTACCGCCCATGTCCAGAGCCCCTCCAAATCAGCCTGGCAAATTAAACTCCCCTTCCACCCTCAAGCACAAGAATGAACTCCTGTTGCCCTCACCCAGCTGGTCCCAGGAAGGGGAGGTGGACACAGAAGGACACAGCCACTGGGCAGGCCCGTGCACCGCAGTCTGCATCAAACAGGCCGCCTCCTCTGCCAGGCCCCAGCATGCCTCCCGTCCTCCCCACCTGCTTTCTACCCTTTGTGTAGCCATGTCTTCTCCCATGCCCATCACCCTGCACGCTTCTCTCAGCTGGCGCCTGCCTGTCACTCTAGCCCTCCCCAAACTGTGCCTGCAGGAAAACTTGCCTTGACCTCTGTCATCTCTACACTGTTTCTGGAATCCCACAGCCATGTCTGTCTTCACCACGTCAACACCAGCTGGGGGCCGTTAGATGGTTTGGTTAATCTCGGGCTCTTATCCCTCCATCTATGAAGCCACATCGTGTTTCTTATATACAGCTGCTATTTTCTGATCCAAATAGCAGAATTTGTAGACTGGAGGGCAGGCCTGTTAATCCTGAATATACAAGTACCCTCCTTTTAATCTCTGTATCTTGTCTGGCCCAGTTCTCTGCTCAAAAGTGATGCTCAAACATCCCACCTCTGTCCAGCCCTAATGCCAGGTGCCCAAGGCCCCTGACCACCTTCTATACTTTCAGGCACCTTTTTCTTGAGGAATGACCAGGACAGGAGGAAGTAGGCCAGGATGCAGGAAGGAAGGGAGTTGAGAGGGAGAGGGTCAGGATGGGGCATCTCTGACGGGAAATTCTCTCCTCCTTACCCTCCTGACCACTCTGCTCTGTGGCTGGAAGGGTGACAAACAGTGCCAGACCCGCAGGAAGTTATATTCTTCCATACTGTTTGTTAAAGGTGTAACAGTGTGGTTTAATGTTTGAAAGACATTCAGGAAAACTCTAACAAACACAAATAAGGAATAAAAAGGCTTTCTATCAACCCATGATCTGTCTGCCCTGCTGCCCTGGGGTGGGGTGAAGATGGCCCCTGGCCAGGGTTCCTGGAGATTCTTGGAACATGCTTCAGGATCAGGAAGGCTTGTACTTGGCTCTCTCCCAGACGAGCCTTGAGAGCAAGAAGAGAATTGGAGATCCCACTCCTACCCCTTACCATCCCAGAGATGTTCCAAGTAAGTTCTGCAGGAAACAGTCAAAGAGAAGAGCAGGTAAGAGTAGGTGATTGGGATACGGTGCTTCTGCTGCTCTCCACAAAGGCTAGTCCGGCTCTCCCTCCGCTCCCTCCCTTCCCTCCAGCAAGGGAGCTTCCCCTTGCCCTTAGTACTATGCCCAAGCCCTACCTGGTTTCTTGCAGCAGCCAAGCAAACAATTGACAGAGAAACACCCAGTAGATGATGCAGCCACCTGTCCCAGGAACACTGGGTCGACCAGAGATGCAGCTTCAGTGTCCTGACTTTCCCAGGGATCTGCCTCCTCCCCAGTTCTTATAAAATGGACAACTCTGAGATAAGCATCTGGACAAGTGTGTTTCTGGAGCCTTTTCTGAAGGCAGAGTATCAGAGTGGGGCAGTCAGGTGTCATTACTCTCCTCCGCCCTCCCCTCGGGGGGCAGAAGACAGGCTCAGCTACCTCACCTATTTCACAGCCACCTGTTCCTGCAGCTGCCCCATCCTTCCACCAGTCAGGCCTGAGGACCTCCAGGAATGGAGGCAGGGAGGGAAAGGGTACTGTTCCCCTCCTAGGCAGACCCATCCAAGGAGTAGCTTCTTCACAGCCAAGTCTTGGAATGAGAGTTGGGGATTATGAGGGCATGGGATACGATACACACTGAAGCCTTCCAAAAGAACAGAAATGGGGAATCACTTCAAAGGGCTCACCCCTAAGGGGGCCATTCACGTTAGGTCCCACCCTCCCCCCATGTTCTCTTAGTCTCCTGGACTGATTCATCATTGAGCAACCAGGAGTCTCTCTCCTTCCCTCCGCCCACCTGAGCTTGGCTTGCTGACTTTTCCAAAAGCCCAAATTGCCCTGACTGTGGACCTGGATCTCAGCCACCCCAGCCCCGCCCTCCCACCCCCAAGTCTGGTCCCCACTCCTTTCCGAGAGCCTGCTCACCACCATCCCTCAGTCCCCCTCAGTCCCCCTCAGTCTGAATGTCCACCACACCCTCCAAGGTTAGTTATTTCCAAATGTTGAATGTTGAATGTGTCCCTACTCATCTCTCCTCCTCAGGGTCCTCCACAAAGCCTATAAGATTTTCAAGTTTAACTCTGGCGTTCTCTGTGTACCTCTCATCTACCTCAAATTTTCTTATTTCTCCATTTGTTTGTTTCCATGCTCATTTCCTCACTTTCATTCATTCACTTATCAGCTTAGCAATACATTCATGCTGTCATTCACTCAGCCATTCCATTCTCAATTGGCTCATTCCTCCCAACTGCTCTCAATATGCAGGGCCTGTAAAATAACTGAACTGGGCTATACTCTCAAGTTGTGAATCTTTCCAGCCTCCCTACCTGGTCCTCTGCTCCCTCGTTCTCTTCTCTCAGCGTCGGAGGCTAATGGTTCAGAGAGGTGCTCCAACCTCTGCACCCTCACAGGATGGATGACATCCCACCCACATATCAGCATACATGAACTCTGCCAGCCCTGATCTGCCTGGGTACCCCATTTATCTTCAGCCAGCTTCTGCTGAAGCTTGAAGTCCTTTGAATTTCTTTTTCCAACTCGTAAAGTTGTAAATGGGCAACACACACACACACACACACACACACACACACACACACACACACACCTCTACCTCAGGCCTCTCCAACATTCATAGGGCTTCTTTTCTGGGTAGAGGCTGAGACCACCTTAGCATCACCCCAGTCCTTGCCCCCACCTCTGGGATGGGCAGGCAAACACTCCTACAGCACAGGTGGCTCTGCCAGGCAAAGACAGTCAAGCTGGGACCTGCCTAGGTCTTGGAGTGGTAAAGCTGCCAGAGTGAAGCTCCACTCCTCTTTCCCTTCCCCGCCAAGGGGATCGCCCAGGCTTCCCCAGGCCCCTCCCAAGAAACACCACTCAGAGCAAATGAGGCCTGCAACTGTGGAGGAGAAGCCACCTCAGGCCCTGCCTCCCCTTCCTGGCTTCTTGGGTTTGGGGGCCCTATCCAGTTCCTCCTAGACCCCATTATCTCTCCCAGGTCACAGAAATCATAGCCCAGTGAGGCCTGTGTCTAGAGTCTGTCAGCCCTAACACCCACATGGACAAACTCACTGCCCTGTTCCATTTAGAGAGGACGCAGCAGCTGTGGGCAAGGCCGGGGAATGTTCTGCCCAAAGTCCCAGCCCCTGGAGATGAGCCAGGTCAGCTGCTTGGCTAGGGAGGGGGTCTTGCTACCCTGTCTACTCCTCTATAGGTTTCACAAAGCCACCAGGCTCCTCATTTCATAACTTGCCTTTGGGGAGAGTTCATGATTACCAAGTCTTCCCGCCCAGTCTGGCAGGCACCTCTCCTCAGGCTCCCTTCCTTGACTCTTCTGATTGCCCCCACAAGGCTTCAGGGTTCCCCCAGCAGCCTCAGGACTCCCCCAGCAGCCTCAGGGTGCTCACCTGCCTCCTCTGTGTCCACCTCCTACAGCAGGGCTCTGAGGCCTGGGCTCTGGCAAGCAAGCAGCTCCTGCTCAGCCGAGCCAGGACTCCTCCCCACTGCACTCCCAGAATCTGTCCCACTCCCTCCCTGCCTTCCCTGGCTGAGCTGGCTGTGGGAAGGTAGTGACTGAACTCTTGGCCCTGGGGTTGGGCCCTTGTTAAAGGGATATACACCTTTTTCTTTAACACCCCTCTACCCTCGCCCTAGAGGGAGTGGTAGGAGCTGGCACTCCTCCAACCCCACCCTCCTAACCCCACCTGCTCTAAGAAGAATCCAACAAGGCAGAGGAAAGAAAGGGAAGGCTCATCACCTGCCCTTCTCACCAGGTCACCGAGAGCCAGGTTTCAGGGCAACCCCCACCAAAGACAAGTTAGATTTCCTGACCACAGGACTTCCCTGCTGTCGGGATTAAAGAGTCTAATGCTGGATTTCTGTTGGCTCGGGTAAGAGGGCAAACGTAACAGCTCTGCCTGCTCTCCCCTCTCCAGTTCAGCTACCCTAAGCTCAGCGATCCATTCCTAAGACCCTCCTGCATAGCAGACACCTAACCCTGTACACACCTTTTCCACAGATACCCGAGGGAATTAGCCAGCTTCACCTCCACAAAGAGGGCCCTTTGGCTCACTCCCTTGATGATGTCTGTCAGGTACCAAAGAACACTCTCCCACCCACCCCCACACCTTGACAAATGGCTGAGATGCCTGTTAACTTATCAAAGTGCATCTCAGGCACTCTCAGCCCCTGTTACAGAGTCCTGACTCCTCTCACCCCAACCGCTACCCTAAAGCTCTCCAGCCCATGGGCTTCCCTGCCCTTCTTATATAACCCAGCCATTTTGGTCACAGTTTCTTGGTTCTCTTTGTCTTGGTCCTACACTCTTGGCTCCTGTTCACCTCTCCTACTCTCTCTTTAGCTCGCCATCTCCTTCTCCGTCTTCTCTAGTGGTCTGGTCTATTCTGCTGCCCTGTTCAGTCTGGACCCTTTCAGATGCTTCTGGCTAAACTCTCATATTTACAATAAAACCCTTCCCCTCAATCGTACCTAGGAGCAGTCACATCCTCATTTTCATTCACTGGCGCTCAAAACCTGAAACCCAGGAGGCCCATGTATGCACCTCCTTCCAAGGGGCTCAGCCTTTCTCTTAACAGAAGCACACTGCTGAAGAGACTCTCCTAGAGGCTGTACAGATAATTCGTTTCCACTGGCTTCTGCCTCCCGCCAAATTTGACTCTAAATTCTAGAGTCTGCCTCTTCAGCCGTTTCTTCCCTGTACCTGGCTCCTCATCTACTGTGGTTTTCTGGCTCCTGGAGCCCGTTACACCCTCCAGGGCAGCCACCGCATGGGTATCTCTCTGCTAAAATGGTTTGTCCTCTCCCTCTGTTGGAACCCTTCCTTTCCCCAAAGTCTCTCCAGTGCACCTGCCCTCTGCTGGGTAGCGTCACCTGCTTTGTCTACTATTACTACAAAAGCCACTAGTGTACCAGGAAGCCCCTCTCACCCTCCCAGGGCCTATCACTTGGAAGGGGATGCCTTCTCTGTGATTTGGGACATTTCTCTCCAACAAGGCCCTCAGTTCACTTGAGGATTCCCCGGGTTGAAATTCTTGACACTGTGACAGAGGAGGAAACCTGCACTCCCTTTGTTATAAGTGTCTTCCTGGACCTTCCTAGCCTCCCTCTAGGAGCTCCAATCCCATGGCAACCTTCAAGCCTCCTGGGCCTCTATGATATTGGAGTCCTCCTGTAGGCAGAGTTCCTGTTTTCAACACTTGTCCTGAAAGAATCAGACTAACTTTGTAGCCTATATTTTCAAGTTTCAGGCCTGTGTTAATTAAAGCCCCATGGTACTTTTCCAGAGAACAGAGGAATGGAACCTACCCGGACTCTGGTCATCTGCTAGGGTAGAGATAAGGAAGTGAGCAAGCAAAGACCTCCACTCAGCAAAGAATGACCAGATCTATGCTTAAGAAATAACATTGCCTAGCAATTAACCCAGATGGCCTCAATTCTTCTCCTGAACAGCCCCCGACCTTTGACCAAAACCCCGCAGGCTCGTTCCTCAGAGAAGACACAGGATAAAGCTAATCGCCCTCCCACCTTTAACTGCGGCCACATCCACACTAGCAGGAAATTCCGAAAGTGACTTAAAGATCAGATATTCCCCATGTGTCTGGTCCAGGATTGACCGGACCTGAAAACCAACCAGTTATTTTAAAAAGTCAACTACTCTAGCCCCTCATCCAATTATGAATAGCCAGGACTTCTACCCCTGAACTTCTCTGCACCTCCTCCCTTAAAAACCCGAGGGTTTTGTGTCTGGTCATCACTCTTTGCTGACTTCCAGAGTGACCCCAAAGCATGCGCATTGGTCCAAATAAACCTCTTGCATTTGCATCTATACAGCCTCCGAGAGTTTCCTCCAGTCGACTCTCCGGGCTTAACAGTCCCTCCTGTCCCTCAGCTCTTTCCTAGAAATCCCACTGCTTCCTTTCTTTCTTTTCTTTTCTTTGATTTTGTTTTGATTTGTTTTGTTTTTCCAGACAGGTTTTCTCTGTGGAGCCCTGGCTGTCCTGGGTTCACTTTATAGACCAGGCTGGCCTGGAACTCAGAGATCGGCTTACCTCTGCCTCCTGAGTGCTGGTATTACACCTGCACCCAGCTCTCACTGCTTCCTTATGCCCTTCTGGGCCTCTAGCTTTCTTACACCCTCCTGGGTCATATATGACCCTTTATTTCTTCTTTCTAAAACTCAGATTTCATTAAAACCTCCTTTCTTACTGAAAACAGCTTGGCCTCAGTACAGCTTACTCAACAGCTAAAAATTGGCATACTCAGTTTTCAGATTCTCTCATACAGTAACAAGCTCTGCCACTCCACAAACACAAGATCCCAAAATCTCTTAATCTAAACTTTCTCTGCCATACTTTCCCAAAAGTCTCTTATCACTAAGGTTTTTTTCACTGTTCACTCTTAAAAAGTCTTTAGCTCCACTGTTTCTCTGCTCTCTAAAAAATTCTGTTACGACTGCTGTAAACTGTCTAAGAATTTGTAAGTCCATTTGGATATAGTTAAGAAATCCGTAACGGGCTGGGGAAGTGGCTCAGAGGTTAAGAGCACTTCCAGAGGTCCTAAATTCAATTCCCAGCAACCACATGGTGGCTCACAACCATCTATAGTGAAATCTGGTGCCCTCTTTTGGTGCACACACACACATGCAAGCAGGATGCTGTATAAATAATAAATACATAAATCCTTTAAAAAAATAAAAATAAAAGAAATCTGTAACAATACTGTGTGATTCACTGTGACACTACAGCTTCATGAAAAGATGGATTGTTTTGTTGTTTTGGAGAAAGAGGTTGCAATGGTAAAGGACGAATATGAAGGGACAGGGAGATGAGTGAGACTGGGGTGCATGAAGTGAAATTCACAAAGAATCAATACAAAGTTTTTTTTTAATCTAACAAAATTTAACTTAAAGCTCATAACAAAAGGCTTACAGTTAAAAATATATACATAGGTAATCTTAATTTGCTATAACATTTTATATATGTATGATTCAATTCTTGTTTAGAATATACTGTATATGTAACTTGAATTCAACTCTTGTTTTAAAAAAATAGATCTACTAGAAAAATAGGTGTTTTTAAATAGCAACCATCTTGCAGCTGGCAGCCATCTTTACTAAGGTTAAAAGAAAATACATGCAATGTAATTTCACCATCATCTATATGACTATATAAACCAACTAAGGCAACTATCATAAAACTTCTTAGTCCTACTGAGCCCTCTGCTTATCATTATAACTCCTTCTTAGACTAAGGAGGCAACAGCAAGTCTCCAAAATATCTTGAACTAGGATGAATTTTTGTATGATGATAAATTCTGAAGGTTATAAACATCTACTCAGAGAAGTATGACTAACCACTCCTGTCTTTGTTTAACATCAGGCTTCTAGAACATTTAAAAAATAAATAACATGTTTGATAGATAATATATATTTGATAAATAAAGTTTATAAATTCCTATGGTCTACTCAGGTTAACAATAATTGACTTAAAGATATATGTCTAGACTTTTTGTCTTTGCTAAACTTTAGCTTCTACTTGGGTAAACTGAGTGATATTCTGTAATCATTCACCATAAAAAGTTCAAGAAAATAAGGTTCTCAATCCCTCTGTGGACTGTATTTATGGTTTTGTAAAGTTCCCAGTCTCTCTGTGGGCTTTATTTATGGTTTAAAGTTTTATGTTGATGCTAGAAGATCTTCAATTAAATCTTCAACTCCAATTTTTAAGGCTCAGACTTAACAAGGATAAATTAGTAAAATTTATAAAAGGTACTGATCTTATAAAAGGTACTAACTTGTAGAGTGGAAGTTTTGGTCTTTTTAAAAACTCAGTTATGTTATGTAAATATGTTTTTGTCTTAATCCCAAGTGTGGGCTATGGGGCTGCTTTTAGTTTGTCCACAGCTGTTAACTATGAATGCCTCATGTGAGCTCAGAGAGGGGCATGGTCTTTGCCAGCTGCAGTTAGTTCAGTTCTAAAGACTCTGAGAGGGTATAATTGCCAGAGCACTGAGAGGAAAAGGAGTCTGAGGAGGAGCAGGCTGCTGCTGATTGGTCCTATTGCTGCTGTTTGCTGTGTTTGCTGTTTGCTGTTTGCTGTTTGCTATTTGCTGTTTGCTGTTTGTGTTATGCCCAATTCGTGAGAGCCCCAAAAGACCACCAGGAGTTGAGTCTGTTGCAAAACACATGAGGATCTTTATTCACAGCTCAAGCTGGACTCTCACAGACACCAAGGCATTGGTATCCAACAGAGAGTCCCAAGCTATGGATTGTGGGTGATTTCTAGGTCCCAGTCTCTCCCAATGAGCCCAAAGCAGGGGATTCTAGCCCGGAAAGCTTCTATTGTTTAAACAGAAAAAGGGGAGGCCACATTTCAAAACTGTTCACTATGGGAAAGTGCCAGGATCATGAACAGTTCCTGCTTTGTTCTCTCTCTCTTGTTTGTGTGTGTGGCAGGAGGGGGTAGGGGATGGCTGACCTTGAGTAGTCTGTGCTATTTTCAGGAGCAGAGGTATGAGTTGGACCAAGTTGGGAGCCATTCGGGCCAGTTTCCTGGCAACGATATCTCTAATGAGCAGCAAGGTCAGCTTTTCCTACAGTTAGCTGGATCTGCCTAGAAGCAGCAAGGTCAACTGGCCTGATGTTTTAAACTTAGATTTTTGGGCCAATTCCATCAGGCCTGATGTTTTAAACTCTTTAGCTCAGTACCCCAAAACCTGGTTTTTAATTCTTTGGTCTCTCACTGGTTTGTTGGTTGGCTGGACTGCTGGGTATGCTGAATAGGAAGATTGGAATTGCCCCAAAAATCTAAGTCTAAAAAGGTCTATGCCCCCTTTCCCCTCTAGCCTTCTTTCTCTCCTATCTAGTGTTAGGGGATTGAAATGGAGGAAGAGGTATAAGAAACCCAAATAAAGTAGATGAAAAGTATACTTCAACCTTGGGCTGGAGAGATAGCTCAGTGGTTAGCAACACTGTCTACCCTTCCAGGCTACCCAGGTTCAATTCCCAGCACCTACATGGCGGCTCACAACTATTCTCATACGGACAGACATACATGCAGGCAAAACACTATCGCACATAAAATAAAAAATAAATATTTTTAAAGGGACTAACTTGTTAACTGTTAAAGATAATTAAGACATGCAAGTTAAAGATCAGCCACCCTTACTGATCAAGTTCTTTAATGTGCTCAGAGCTATATGCATAGTCATGCTAAGTACAATGCAATTTATTTACAGGGACAAGCCTTATTTACTTGTATATGTTTTTTCAAAGTTAAGCCTAAAGCAGGTAACTAAAAACAAAAAGGTTGTTTAAATAAGGTATGCTTAATAGGCGATGGTCCTCAAACTCAGAGATCTGATGAACACGGCGCTTAAAATGTTTAATGAAGAAAGCTTCCCATGATAGACAGAACTGCAAACTCCCGGAAGTGACCCAAGGCTCCAGAGAAAGTGACGGGCAAGCTTGACATTAACAGCAGCAAGCAAAGCAACCCCTTTCTGGAAGCTGCAGCTAGTCCTTTCACTGGAGAAGTAAAATCAGAAGGACCTTGTTTCTAGAGCTACTACATCTGCTGAGAAAGGCAGACACACACAGATTCAGATACCTTATTGGCAGGCTTAAAGCTGAAAAAGATAAACTCACAAAACAGGTTTCAATGTAACTTTTAAACTATTCCTTTATTTAAAGGAACTTGTTTTGCAATGACTGCTTTCAGTAACCAACCAACCACCTGTGTCTCCTGGTAAATGACTGGATGGAAGGAAAAGGTTTAAGGTTGATGAAAGTTGTAGGGAGCTAAGAAAGTAATCCGAGGTATGTAAATGCAACTTGTAAAGGTCTGGGAATGTGAAAGCTTAAGTAATTGTGAGGGTCTAAGAAGGGGTTTTAAGGTGTATTAATGCAATTTGTAAAAGTGTAAGAAAGTGATTTAAGATATGTGAAAAGTGAAAAATGTTTCAGGTTTTTTTCCCCTTTCTGTGCTATTAATAAATTAAGACTTCAATCCAGACAGTCCTGGAGCATGTTCCTGACAGAGTCAGGAGGATTGCTGTTAATTTGATGTCAGCCTGTTCTGCAGAGTTACTTCCAGGACAGCCAAGGCTACACAGAGAAACCCTGTCTTTAAAAAAAATTTTCAAAAGTTCCAAGTTTTAATTAATCAGTTTTGATATAGTTGGGGTTTTTGTTGTTTTCTTTTGTTTGTTGGTTGGTTGTTGGGTTTTTTGTTTTGGTTTGGTTTTTCAAGACAAGTTTCTCTGTGTAGCCATGGCTGTCCTGGACTCACAGGCTGGCCATGAACTCACAGAGATCTGCCTGCCTCTGCCTCCCCGAGTGCTGGGATCACAGGCGTGCGCCACCACGCCGAGCATCTAGTTCTTGGTAAGCACTGACTACTATTACCATAGTCACAAGGTCAAGATTTTAAATTTCCTTTGGTTCTTTTCTAAGTATAGACTTAAAGTGCTTCTCATTGTGCTAAAAACATCTGCCCAATCTTTACACGTACAATTTTCTGGATAGAGGACAGAGTGTTCATGCTTTTAACCCAGAACCATTGTTTGGGAGTCCCCAGCTTTTACTATGACTCGAGGCATGCATCAACTGCTTTTTCTACAATGTGGATTTCAGTATGATCACAAAGACTGATAATGCTAATATATCTACATCTATACGTTTCTCAGGACTTGGGGAGTCCTGAGACTTGGATCTACCTCTCACAGGCCAAACAGACTCCAGATAAGCACTCCTGTTAATCAACAGCTTCAGTTTTCTCTCCTGCCTACTCCTGAGGTTGGGCTCTCTCTCCATCCTCTGACTCCCCATTTCCCCCTGCAACTACCAGGACCACATCCTTAGAAATTTCAAAAGTTCAGCCAAAATGAAGATTTTTCTCTAAGCTCCTTAATTTTACCGTCTTCCCCTAGTATCTATCTGTCTCAGCTGAAGAGTGCAAACTGCTCCAAAACAGCCTGCAATGTGCCAGCTCCAGTTGTTCCTTAGAACCTGGGACCTAGACTGCTCCCGATTGGCCTGCTCTTCACTAGCCCCAGGTGGTTCCTCAGAACATGGGCAGTGAGCAAAACAGACATTCCCCAGCCTTCACCCTTCTCCCTCCCTAGCCTTTGACCAACATTTCAGCCTTCTTGGACCCTTGACAATGATGCCCCAATTTCTGCTCAGAAGCTGTTACAGAAGAAATTATGTCACCCCTTATCATCAACAAAAAAGCTGCGATGTCAGATCCCAAAGAAAACCCTAGACAAATGACTAGCTGTGGTACCTATTTAGCTTACCCAAGCCAGGCTCTCTCAGCATCACAAGTACCTGTTATAGAGTCCTAGGTCCTCTCAGGACTTTTCACCACCACCACTCTACTCTAAGCCTCTCCAGCCCCTGAGCTTCCCTTCCCTTCCCCCAGCTTCTGGTTCTTGTATAGCTAGGCCATTTGGCCACATGCTCGCTTGGCTTTTCTTGGTCCTCTCTCTTACCTCTCTTTCCCTCCCTCTCCCTCTCTCCTCTCATGGCCCAGTCTATTCTGCTGACCATGATTCATCTGGATCTTCCAAATGCCCCTGGCTACTCTCTCCCTCATATCTACAATAAAAACCTTCCCTTCAACCATACCCGAGCAGCCACACCCTGGTTTTGACTCAGCCTCCACTAACCAGGCACTCGGTGTGTCAGATTCTCCGGTAAGTGCTCCATGGGATGGGTCACAGCCTCCTCCTAGCAGAGGACTGTCCACCATGCCAGTGAGGGAGCATACTGTAAGAGAATGCCCAGAGCTCACAGCTGTGGGCGGCAGAATCAGGATTCAAACTCCGCTACTCAACCTGTTTCTCAGTACCTGTTTCCCTTGACACAGGAACACATGGTTCGTTCCTTCCCGAGGGTAAACATGCATGTTTTCATCTCCTATCGGAGGACCAGTCTTGGCATGGAGGAGCCTGTCTCTCTCTGAGGCAGACTTTCCCTAGCTTTTAGGGCAGGATCACTCTCAACCCAGTCCATGGAAAGAAGTACCTGGTCTTTCCCACTGCCAACCACTCTATTCTCATATTTCCCACCCACCGTTTGCCCCAGAGCACCCCTCATCCCTGGAATCTGAATAATGGGCAAAGGAGAGGGACAAAGAATCAAGACAAATTTTACTTTTTCCAATATTTTTATTAATCAAATGATATAAAATAACTATCATCCATAAATGCCCAAGCACCTAGCTGGTCCTCTCACCCCAAAGTCATGAAGTCACACCCTCCTCAGCCTCTTTTGCAGCTCTGCTCCTATTTCCCCTGCCTCTACTCAGGAACAGGCCCTGGAAGGAGGATGGGGCAGAGCTGGGAGCAGCAAGGATAGTACAGAGAAGACAGCTACAGTTTAGGTTGGACAAGATTAGAAGGCATAGATTCTCACACACGCTTTTCAGGACCAAATATCCAGCCAGAGCCCCAGCCCCACTCTTCAATCACTTCCCATAGCCCAGTTCCTTTCTACCCTTCCCTTATTACCAAATCACTTGGCCCTTACCCTGCCAGGGTCCCTGCACAGCCTCTCCAGTCCCAACCCACCCCCTGAGCTCTACTGAGATGAGGACTTCTGGACCCATGAGCTGCTCAGAGCCCCCAGGGAAAGCTGTCCTGAGCCTGAATGTTGTAGAGATGAGGAGAGGTACAGGCTGGGGAAGAGGGTGGTGCAGGTGGAGAGAAGTTTTATTTCCAGGCTCAGGGCCTCTAAAATCCCCTACCCCCAACATCCCAACAAGTTCCAAGAAGAGACCCTCAGCTTCGAGCCACAGGGCCCTCCATCTTCACACTCTTGGCTGCTTCTCCAATCAGCTCCCAGAAGCTTCCAAACTCCAGTTTCGAGTCATTGCAGTTACCCAAGTTGGCAATCTTCTCTTCTAGCCCACAGTTGCTCTGAGGACAGGAAAGACATCACAGCTTAGCAAGGCAGCCCTTCCAGATCTTCCTGCCCCACCCTGGCCAGCGGCAAGCAACAGGAGAGGAGCCTACTAGGTATTGGCAAGGGGGAATGGAAGGAGGTTCCCAGGGCCAGCATGGGTGGGGTCTTGGGGCACTAGCTTGGGAAGTCAGGGGTTGGCATGGGGTGGGGTCTACCCCTTCATTACCGGCATGAGGTGCGGCAGCTGCTGGGTAACCAGGTCTCGGAGTTCAGCAGGGGTCAGTGTTTCCCTTCCACCCTCCACAGAGTACTGATGGAAGTTCTTGATGAGGGTCTCAATGGCCCTCTCTACATCACTGAATTCTTGGGCATCCTGAATATAGACACAACACATGTCAGGAAGGCCCACCCACCCTACAAAACCTTTCTCAGAAGCCTTGGAAAATCAACAGGGTAGAAAGCAACTACAAGACATTCTAGAACCCAGAATTCTGCCCCACTCCTCTCCCCTAACCCAACATCTAGGCCACAATGGCCTCTGCCCTAAGCCACAGATTAGGCAAGCCCCACCACCCCCGATCCCAGGCAGGGCAGGCCCTGGCATGTACCCAGAACTCCTATTTCCAGAAGAAATCTATTTGCATCATCAGCCTATGAAGGCATGAGGGAGGGGATTTGGGGCTGGCTGGCAGTACCTACGGGACAAGGCCTAGGTAAAGAGTAGAGTGAGTGGGGGAATGAACCCTCTGACAGAAGGAAAGAGTGTGAGAACAGAAAGACAGGCCAGATGAATGGGCCCACCTCAGCATTGGCTGACCGACACTGTCCCATGGTGCCTGGTACACTGGTCCTTCTGTGAGTGAAGTCTGTCGTCTGTCCTATAGCCTGCCCCACAGGAGCTGATGGATCATGATCTGCCTAGAGAGGGGGAGGCCTGAGATGAGGGGAGAGCTCATCATTCTTTTTCTCGTGGTCGCTTTGGCTCCACCCAACATATATCTTCACCAAAGGGCTTGGAGTCTGCTCTACACAGACACAGCCTCTGCCCAAACTCCAGGAGCTAAGGCTACAGCCCCCAAGCCAACCCACTCAGAGGGACTCCCCCTGGGCCTCATCTCAGCTACATTCTTCCCACCTTCTGTAAGACGGGCAAGAAGAAGTGGGCCTATCTAGGTTGACGGCGTGCTGGGCTCTCTTACCTGCTGGCAGCTGCAGAGACAGGATGGAGGAGCCAGCTCACCTGAGCTCAGCTCTTATACCTGGGGGAAGGGAGGGGAGGCCAGGGGCAGGGCCACTCCAGCTATTGCAGCCTCCTAGGCTGGGAGCCAGCTTTGAGAGCCGCGCCCTCCACAGTTCTAGAGTCAGTCCCCACCCCTAACACGAGGAAGAAACCATGGAGGGCTGGGTATGAGATGTTCCTGGCACAAGATCACCCTACCGAGTCACAGGGAAAAAAGGAAGAAAAGTTGGGGGAATCTTAGCTGGGAAGGTAAGAACCCGTAGCAGCCAAGAGTCAGGGAAGCAGAGGGAATCGACACTGGAAGAAGCAAGCCATTCAAGCTGAGTTTGTGGGATAAGGAGCTTGAAAGAGGGCCTCAGGGTCTGTGTGCTTTGACTCCTCCCTTCTCTCTCCCAGCTAAGCTAGTAATGCTCAGGCCTGCTGAAACCCTGAGCCAAGCCTTCCCCAGTCCTGACATCCTAGAGATGAAAAGGTGGAAGGAAGGGCCAGAGAAAGCAGCGCACCCTGGTGTTGGAAGGCACACTGAGCCTTCACCAGACATCCTGCCTTGCACACGGGAGTACACATGCTGCCTGGTGGGCAACAACCTCTCCAAACTGGTCGGGCTGCCATCTCCTCCCTCCTTCAGTCCTACCCCCTCCCCGAACAGCACCTCAATACCAGCCCTTCGAACTACCAACCAGGTACCCCAGGAGTAGGCTAAATTGTTTTTCCTGGAACTGCCTGAGCTTACAGGCAAAATTCCCTTGCTCACTCAGAAAGCAACGCGTATGTCCAGACGGTCTTCCTTGGGTCACTTGCTGGAATCCCTCTGTATTCTGGTCTCAGTCAGGGACTCTTCCAAAAGTCTCATTTGGAGAAGCCTCTGAAGGGCTTCAGTCTGGAAACCCACAAGGTCCTCGTCATCTGAGGGGCTGAGGAGTCTGGAGGCTTGTTGGAGGCTTCTCAGATGCTCTGCCAATACGCCCTTGGAGAGTCTTCGGGTCCCTCTGAGTTTCCCCTGGGGCCTCTTTCCTGGTGTGTGATGGGGAATTTGTCTCTTCTAATTCTCCCCTGGTTGACTAGCTGCCCCACGTGGACATCCACAGTTACATGTGGAGTCTTACATCAACTGCCGTACCCCTGCTCTCTCCAGTGGCTACACAAACCTCCTGCCCCTCAAACCAGGGAGAGCAATGTAGGGACGACTCTGTCCCTAACTGGCACACTCACAAAGCTTCCTCTCCCTGTCAGATTTGAGCAGCACTCCTGCTCAAATCTGGCCAGTTCCAGCTCTTCTTGGGTTCATAACTTAACCTCCCTAAAAATGTTTCCTCAGGGCCAGGAGTGGCAATGCAGCTGTTATCCCAGCACCTGTGAGGCTGAGGCAGGAGGATTGCAGAAGATATCAACACTCTATTTTAAAACAAAAAGAAAGAAAGAGGGGGACTGCAGAGATGGCTCAGAGGGTAAGAGTACTGGCTGCTCTTCCAGAGGTCCTGAGTTCAATTCCCAGCAACCACACATTGGGTAACAAGCTTCTATAATGAGATCTGGTGCCCTCTTCTGGCATTCAGAAAAACATGTCCAGAACACATAAATCTAAAAAAAAAAAAAGACAAGAGAAAAGAAAGCAAAAACAGGGCTTGGGGTGTGGCTCCTCCCAATTGCCTGACTAGTGCAAGATCATAGGTTAATCCCCAACACTGTAAAAATTAATTTTATTGATAAACCTTGACAGCTGTGACAGTAGCTAGGGTAATACAGGTGAGATATTTGGCACATTTGTTATCATTACCAGCCAAAGGACACATTCCAGGAATTATAGGGGGAAACTGGGAACTGGAGACATGCAGCTGAGCCCCAGAAGCCTCTCTTGCCTCCAAGCTCTGTATTCTTCATGAATCAACTGTGTATTTATTGAGCACCTACTTAGAGAAAGATCTATTGCTGTGCCACACATTCTCAAGGACATGTTCTGTCCTCAGCACCAGAAGGGAAAAAAAAAA